GAACGGGTACTGAATATACAATCAAAATGATTAATAAATATAATAAGCATTTTGTATATAATAAATTTAGATATAATAATGAATTATTATTGGAGATACTATTAGATGAATTATTACTAATTTAATCATTTAAATTCGCAGGCCGCGACAAAGTAATTGTCCAATTCACATAAATTTACAACTCAGTTCTTTAGAGAATTCCATATCGCAAAATTTATTACCTTTTATTACTTTTAATTTACTACTTGTATATGTTATGATTACTATGCAATTAGAAATTTTAGTAATAACCCAAAAAAAGATTCATTGTGATTTATATCATTGGTTATATCATAATTTACTAAATTGTTTAATTCAAAATAAATTTTCAGTCTTCGCTTGATGTAAGCATTATCAAATCAAGATAAATTTCAAGTTGAAAGTTGCAATCTTCTTAGCTTTATATCTTTTAATTTAAAATGTTTCCAAATGAAATACTACTTGAAATTGCTTCATTTATAATTAAATATAATAATATATTTCATTGTTCATTAGTAAATAAACAATGTTCTTCATTTTTTACCAAAACTTTGGTATGACCCATTTCACATAGCATTAAAAAAATATGAGACCAAGAAGAAATTTAAAGATATAATCGAATATATTTTAGAAATTTATTTGAATAATTCAAGCACATCATTATATTTGAATTATTTTTCTTTTATAATAGTTTTACGAGTTCTCGAACTTTATTTATTTTTATAACATTGATATTTTATTTCTATATCTCATAGATTTTTAGAAAAATAAGATTCTCTAAGATTATTAAATTTATCCTTAAGGAATGTTCTAATTTTGATTTTATTCTGTACCATAATGTTATCAAGGATTACATTTATCTTTTAAAATCTCATGTTAATGAGAATACTCATATTGAATTTCATTTCTGCAAATATATACCCATTCATAATGATATTTATTTATTAGATAAGAAGACAAAAATGAGAAAAATAACTTTAATTGGTTCTTCAGAAATTTTAAATGACAATCTTCCAAATGAACACTTAAAAAAAATATTTTTATATTATAGTAGTTTACGTTACATTGTCTTCGAAAATTTTATAAAATTGGAAGAATTAATAATTGCAGATTGTTACGATTTTGATATCAAAACAGTTTCTGTAACAAACTGTAACATCACAATAATTTCAAAAAATATGACTATAAAAAATGTTTTAAATATTTTTTTAGAAATAAAAAATTTTAAAATTATAACTTTATCAAATAATCTTTTCGATGTTCCAGCTAAAAAAAATATGTATTTTACTAAAAACAGAGAACTATTCAAGGTAATTTTAAAACACATTATTTCAGAAGAATCAGAAGATATTATAAATAATGACTGTTCGTTTTTTGTTGAGATTGAAAAAAATACATTTCAAATATGGATATTGTGCTATGATTATAAACATTTTCTTAGATTTGGAAAAATAATAAGAGATAGTTCACCTCTTTAGAGCTAAAAAAAATACAAATCTTATAATAA